AGCCTACACAAGAGGAAATACATAACTTGTTGAATAGACCTATGTCTATTGAGGAAATTGAAATATACTTAAAATCCTTTCACAGTAAAAAGTTCAGGCCCAGGTGGCTTCACTGATAAATTCTACCTAACAAGCAAGGAATAATAATAGCAACTCTACAGAAATTCTTCCCTGAAAATGAAAGCAGAGGGGAGTGCTTCCCAATCAATCTCTAAGGCCTGCGTTAAACTAGCCTGACAAAGACTGTAAAAGAAAACTGTTGACCAGAATCCATGATGATCAGATTCAAATTCTTTGAACAAAATTTTAGCAAGTCAAATCTGACAGTATATAATAAGAATACTATACCCCGGTCAAGTGAGGTTTATCCCAAGAATGCAATGTTAGTTTTACAATCAAAGTCAATGCTATTCCTTAAAAAAATTTTTTTCAGGGAACTAACAATAGAAGGGAGGGCCAGGGATTTAGCTCAGTGGTTCTACCACCTGCCTTGCAAGCACAAAAACCAGAGTTCAATCCCCGGTACCAAAAAAACAAACAAACAAACAAAAAAAAAAAAAACCTTAAATCAAAAGCTATCTCTTGACCATGAATTGGAGGACTCAGCATTTTTTAAATGTCAGTTCTCCAGGGAGTTTAAAGAGACAATTCAACAGTCCCAGAAATTGGTAAGCAAATTCTAAAATCCTCATGCAAATACAGAGAACCCAGAGTAGCCACACAACTTTGAAAAAGAATAAAATTGAAGGGTTAGCACCAGCTGATTTCAAAATGTTTATAAATCTTTAGTAATTAAGGGAGTTTGATAATAGGTGTAAAACATAAATAAATCAGTGGAACCATTTCCTAAAATAACTCCACCTATCTTTGATACATGTACAGTTTTTGACAAAGATACAGATGCTGTGGAAAAGGATCTCTTTTCAACAAATGGTACCTGAACAACTGGATTTCCAGAAGGAAAAAAAAATGTACTTTGATCCATACCTACCACCAATATAAAATTCTAGAAGAAAAAATAAATCTTTGTGACTTTGGGTTAAGCACAGATAATTTACAGTCACCATCAGAAGCATGACCCAGAAAAGCACATATTAATAAATTAGACTTTGTCAAAACTTAAAACCTGTGTTCTTCAAAAGTCGCTTAAAATTGAAAATACCAATCACAAAGTAGAAGAAAATATTTACAAATCATATATCTGCTAAAGGACTTAATATCCAGTACATATAAATATTTCTCAAAACTCAATTAAAAAACTACACTATTTTTCAGTAGGTAAAACATTTAGTCTGACTTCACAACAGTGTACAAATAGCAAATAAGCTCATGAAAAGATACTCAACATTGTTCTTCATTAGTAAATACAAGTTGAAATCACAATGAAATACCACCACACACCTGTAATTTTAATGGCTGAAAAATTTTTAACTGATGACAAAATTTTCAAGGATGTGAAGAAACTGAATTCGCAAACACTGTTGGGAATAAAAAATTGTACAGCCAGCCGGGCGTGGTGGCACATGCCTGTAATCCCAGCACTTGGGAGGCTGAGGCAGGAGGATCGCTGTGAGTTTGAGACCAGCCTGGGCTACATAGTGAGTTCCAGGTCAGTCTTAACTACATAGTGAGACCCTGTCTCCAGAAAAAAAGTTAGACCAATCATATATGATTCAGTCATTTCATTCCTTTAAATGGAGAAAGTGATTTTTCTTGCTTACTGAAAATCGAATCACCAGATTTTATCCTGTAAACTTAGTTTTAGTATATGTGCTTCTGAAGCGAGCACTTACCTTGTAAATTCAATCAGCTTTTCTTCATCTATTATAGTAGAAAAACATTTCAGAAAACTCCTTGTGTTTCTGATGTCACATTCCAAATGTGGTATCTGGCTATTAACCCAGCCTTCAAGTCGATATGACTTATTTTTTCCACTAAACATTTTCGCATGTTTGTTGCTAAAGGGTAAAAAGTAAGTTATTCTGCATCTTCTCTATTTCCAGTAGGCCTAATTATGAGCCCATTTGGAGGTAGATTTTTTTTAACCCCAAGCAGCAAGTGGCTGCCCACTGTGACACAGTTATACACACACTAGTGCACACGAGCACTCATACCTTAGTGCTCTCTAAGCACAATTCCAGCTCCAGCAAGGTGAATGTCAAAGGCTTCAGAAAAGTTTTACCTCTCTGACATAATTGTAGAGGGCAGAGTTTGTGGTGGAGCCAATAACTTGGTAACTGTGGGCTGTGAAAGCAATTTTTCTACTTGCACAGGAGGTTTACTTTTGATCTCCCTGAAATGCCTGTAAGTTTAACCTAAGGTCATATTCATTATCATTTCTTTTCTACTTTACCTCAGAAGTAGGTTTTTTAAAATTATATTTCTGGACATATTAAATATAATTCGGGAAAACAGGTATGTCTGAGGCAAGTGGTTTCTGTGGAAATGTGGACAATGCCACTGTTCCCCAGGTTAATAGAAAGAGGTCTAAATTCTGTAGACAGTGAACCTGGAGCTGACCTGTAACAACTGAAGGTGCATTCCTAGGACTGTTAGGGCAGTTGTCCTTAGATCTCGTCCTGCAGAGCACACTGCAGATTTCTCCTCCGCAAGACTCAGATAGTAGGGAACAGAGTTCCACCTGTCATTGGCCTGTCCCCTTCTCTGTCCAACTAGCACTGTCTTCATCACCACCCTTCATCTCTTGTACACTGGCTTCTCTGGGTGGCACTATTGACTCCAAAGTAGGAGGCCGAACTAGAAAGCATTTTTGGTATTAAAAGACAGGTGAACGGGGAAATGAGCTCTGAGCACTGCTTAAGAAAGGAACCAGAACACCAAAGAAACATCGCAATGCAGAATCGAACACAAGGCCACCCGGTGTGTGTACAAGGGATGATCAAAAAATATTTTGAATGTTTAATTTTTTAAATTTATTACAGTAAAACACATATTGCCATTAATCCCCATGAAAATATTACCCCCGTTTCACACACACTTATCCCATCATTCTTGGTAATGTATCCTTTACTTGTGTGTTATCAGTAGGGGCTAGCGTTTGGATGAGAACTGGGGACATGGTTGAAAGTTGAGGCTAAGAGCAATGAAAGAAAAGGCATTTTTAATATTTATTTTCCATCATAGAAACAGAAGAAAGGTTACTAACTCTAACAGCCATTAAAATAAACTTATCATTATGCCCAGTGTAATGCTCCAAAATAATAATGTTGAACCTCAAATTGTCAAATTGACTTGTTGTATTTAATTATAACTATCAACATTTCAAGTATATTTGGTCTTATAATTAGTTGCTCATATACCATAATCACAGGAAACTCATGGTATCTAATCCTTTCATTTTCACTGATACATAAACTCATACTTAATGCAAATGCTTACAGTTTTAACAACTTAGAGGATTGTATAGGACCTAGCTGTTCAGAGCCCTGTCAGGAAAACACCACTGGGTGCTGGCCCAGTGCATATATTTCACACTCTTCTAATGCATCTTCCTAAATTCTATTTAATTTTTGCATTACATATAATCTAATATTTTAATTCACCAAAAAAATCTTTAAAAAATGTTGTGAAAAAAGAACACTGAAATCGTCACAGAAATTAAGATGATAAACTTGGATAAATCACTGATAGCCACATCATGACTTAAATTCCCATCATCCTATATAGCTAAATTAACATGGAGAGGAAAGCTGATTTTTGCCTGTCTGTAGTGTTCATTTGAAATAGTTTTCAACCACGTACATTATGATTGGAACTTATCTCAACCAAACAAAATTCTTAACTTGTCATGAGCAGTTGTTTGACTAGTGCAGTGGAGAAGATTGCCTGGTGGATTAGGGAGTGTCACGAGGTCATCAGCCTCCCTTCTGCCAATATAAGATGGCTCCACAAAGTCTGCATACAGCTTGTCTAAAGTATGCTTTAGGGATGTAGCTTAGTGACACTGTGCCTTCCTGGCAAGCGCAAGGTCTTGAGTTCAGTCCCTGTACCATTAAATATATATATGCTTTAGACATATAGTGACTTCCAAAGCATGCCCTGCCCTTTCCCTCCCATATCATCTCCTCATCCTTATTTGTGTGTCCAGTGACCTTGCTGCCTTAATTTACTCATGAAAAATAAGGTTAAAAAGTATATGTTCCTCCTTTTTCCTTGGGATATGAATGTATCATTCTGTTTATCTACTTCCCCATCCCTCCTATTTCCAAAGGTATTTCCTATATCTGAGCCTTAGCCTCATTTTTTCTTGCTTTTCCAAGGACTTACTCTCTGTTACTCGCTCTTTCTCTAAACTGTGCACTCTTTCTGTTGGCTCCATCTGGTTTGCCTGAAGATAGGCACACATTCTTTTGTCCAGAAAATATCTTTTGCTCAAGCTACCACCTTGTCTTCCTAATTTTCTTATTGTCAAAGTTCTGCAAGTGCAGTTTTTCTTGTTATGTTTCACACTGCTGTATCAGAGATGCCTAGAAAGCAAGAACCATAACTTAAGTTAATTTATATCTGTCAGGTGCCTCTCACGGTATCATGTAATGAATAACACACAGATCTTGGAACCTAATAAATCAGTGTTCAGATTTGGACTCAGTAGTACTACCTGTTGAATGACATTAGGTAAATAATTTTGCTGCTCCTAAACCTTATCAAATGTGAAGTGAGAGTGATAATGCTTGTCTTGGTATGTTGTAGAAATTAAAAGATATTTATAAAAACCCCTATAGGATGTTTGGCACAACAAGTGCTCAGAAAGCTGGTTCCCTTCAAATCTCTATGCATGGTAGAGATTCAAGGATTTACTGAATGTGTGACCAAATGATCTTCGTATATCAGGTCAGCATTCAGTGGCTTGGCTTTTTTTGTTTGTTTGTTTGTTTGTTTGTTTTCCTCATTGAGTTTATTGGTACATTTTAGGTATACAGTTGGCGTTTATTTTTTGTTCTGTTTGATTCTTACTCTTTTCTTTTCCTTGTGTGTTTCAGGTTCACAACCAGTATCCTACTGAGTTTGAATTCAATCTCTATTACTTAAAGTTTTTGGCCTTCCACTATGTATCTAACCACTTTAAAACTTTTCTCCTGGATTCAGACTATGAAAGATTAGAACATGGTATGTATTTATATGACTTCATTCCATCTTTTTTGTTGAGTTTGCATTTTTTTCTCATTGAGTTTATTGGTGCATTTTAGGTATACAGTACAGTTACATTTATCATTGGGATCTTGTACCTTTACATGGCAGGTCTTGGTTCTCATTCTTGAGTTTGCATTTTTAATGGAAATAATACTTTTTTTTTTAACACAGGTTCTCCCTATGTAATTCATGCTGGCCTGTAACTCATTCTATAGCCTAAGTTGGCTCAGTGATCCTTCTGTCTCAGCCTCCTGAGTGCTGGAGTTACAGACATGCATGACCATGCCCAGAAGTTTTATATATTTTTATGACATTTTTTGATGAATGATGTAACTACTGCCAAATGAGACAAGCTCAGAGGGTTTTATACCAAAATACAAATAGAGAGTAGAGAGCCAGGGATTTAGCTCAGTGGTGCTGCCACCTGCCTCACAAGCGCAAGGACCAGAATTAAATCCCTGGTACCAAAAAAAAAAAAATCCTACAAATACAGAGTAGATTTGAATAAATGCCTGGATGTTGAGATTATGTGCTGTCTTATCTCTTAGGGACAGCACATAGTCAATCCCGTAGCACCTTGGTAAAGTTAGATCTGTTTACTATTTTGATAATATAAACGATATCACAGTTTAAAAGGGATATTTTTTTTTTCCATCCCTAGTACATTCTGTAGGAAGGGTACTAGTCCTCAGAGGTAGTTTGAATAGCAGTTAAGGCCATGGGATCTGGAGCAAACAAACCAGAGTTAAAATTCCAGCACTGCCAATTAGTAATAGTGCCCTTTGGAGGAATTAGGTGCTTCTCTGAGCCTTAGCTTCCTCGTATTTAAAATGAGGGCAGATATAGCCCACCCACTAGGGACACAATGACCATGTCAGGAAATAATAAATTTCTTATCACAATTACTAGCACATAGTAAGCACTTGATAAATTTTAAACATCACTATCATTATTATAATTTTTAGTATCAGTAACAGTTATAAAGAATAGATTTCTGAACATGTTAACTGATGCAACTTAATTATACTTGTATATTTTTATTGTGATTATTATATAATTTACAAATTATTTGTATATATATGTATGTGTGTGTGTGTGTGTGTGTATATATATATATGAACAAATTTATTTTGATTGTGTATTTTATCAGAAGAAAATACACCACAATATCAAGTGGGAATAAAAAAAATAGATTCTGAAAGCCCTTTGAAAACATTACCAAGGGGATTTTATATTCATTCTTTTGTTGTGCTAGGAATGAGGGAAATACACATGACTATTTTTGTTAAGAAGACAAGCAGGGCCTGGGAGTTAGCTCAGTGGCAGCGCACCTGCCTTGCAAACTAAGGTCCTGAGTTCAATCCCAGTACAAAAAAAAGCAAACAAAAAATAAAATAATCATTCAATAAGTTGTATGTACCAGAGTATTCATAAAGAGGAGTCTTTTTTTAATGAAGTTGAGAAGAATAGTGGAATACTTCTTTTCATATTTATTTAGTTAGTTTGTTTGGTGCCAGGGATCAAACTCAGGACCTTGCGTTTGTAAGGCAGGCGTTGGGACCACTGAGCTAAATCCCCAGCCCAAAGAGGACTCTTTAGTGACCAGAAAATATTACCAGTGTTCTCAGATGAAAATTAAATTAGGAAATACTGCTTTTCAGATCATGATATTGAAATTGTCTAGTATGGTATTTCATACTTTTGGTAAGGAGAACACTGGTCAGACTATTCCCATCCTGTTTATACTTTGAGGCTTTCGTTGACTCATGGAATTGTGTTTCCTCATGTCATTCACAAGTTCTCAATCACCGTGTGCTGGGAAGTATTAAATAGACCTGATTACTGCTACTTCTGGTCTGGTCTAAAGCAGACTAATCTGTGTGACAGGAATCACAATGTCACGCAGCTTTATCCCTGAAAGGAACAACATATGCAAATACTGGTGTGAGCAGTTTTTTTGTTTTTGTTTACGATCTTCAATAGAGCAGTCTGTTTTGTAATTAAGCTGATCAGCAGTTTACCTTAGCAGCCCGCAGATATGGCCAAAGCCCAAGGTTTCTGCTGTAGCAGATGATGTGTGTCTTCAGTACAGAAGCAGCAAGATCCAGGGCAGTGGTTCTCACTGCACATTGGGATCACCTGGAGAACTTTTAAAACTCTCAACATCCAAAATGAATCTGAATCTGTGATTTTGGGTCTAGGTATCAGCAGCTTTCTGAAGTTCCCCAGGTGATACCACTGCAATGCCAAGGCTGAGAACCATCCTGGCCCAGTTTGGGAGAGCACAGAGCTATGTCAGATGGTGTTTGTGACATTGGGTAAACTACTTCATCTCTCTGAACTTGTCTCCCATCTCAAAAACTAGTTATTTGCCCTGCCTATTACACACCAAAAAATGAAATAAAGCATGGATAAAAGATATTTGTTGTATATTGAAAGGTTATCATGAGTATTTGAAAAAGTGATTATTTCTATCCTATATCATAGACATATGTTCTTATGAAGCACATGACATATATTTAGAATCCTAAAATGTCACTGCCAAAGAGTTCTTGGAGATCATCTACCCAAGCCTCCTCTCTAAACAGATGGGCTACCCAGGGGGCCACCCACCTAATTAGAAGCCTGTTTTTGTGTCTAGTCCAGACACAGGACTCAGGTCTGTCCCTGTTGTGTTTGGCTAAACACACTAATTATGAAACCTACACAGTGAAATATCATTTAGAACAGCTGTGGTAAAGACCTCTCCCTTCCAAAATCAACAGTTGGAAAGTAAGAAATCTCAACCAGTGCTAATATAATTCATCAGTCATAATTTTTAAGATTTCATCAGAAAAGTCTAAACACCATGAATTCTCCTGTGTAATATTATTCTCCTGAATAATGTTGTTATGTACTGGATTATAAGATTGTGATTTGATAGGATTTGACATGAGTTATCTGATGATTCGAATTGTATTTAGGGTGTTTCCTGTATTTGTACATATTACCCAAAGATATCCATCTGAATATTGTAAGAAAAAGCCACTGGACTTGGTTCCTGTCACTAGGCATCCCCACTATGGAACAGGGGGTTCCCCTGAGGAAAGGAAGGCCAGATGTTGCACTGTCTTTTCTGGTTTCAGCTCATTCTCTTCCTGTCTGTAAAGATGTCCAGAGCCTAGTTCACCTGGGGCTGACTGCCAGACAGCCATCCAGTGTAATCCGTACCTCATCCCAAGTGGAGCATAAGTGAGGGCATTTTAAAAGTCCATCCCAACCCCTAGGGCAGTCTCAATTTCAATACTGGACTCACTTGGAGAACTCTTAAAATGACTAATATCTGGGACCTATCCCCAGAGGTTCTGATGTAACTGGTCTGAAATGAGACCTGGACATTAGGATTTTTTAATGTGTAATCAAGATTGAGAACCACTGCACTGGAACCTGCAGTTGAAAGGTAGGAACAAAAGCAGGCTAGGAAGCCCCACATTTTGGGCTTGAAATATTCTTTTCTGATATACTGGTAAAATCCTGTTACCTTTGGACTAAGGCACATCATTCAAAGCAAGACAGCACTGCTAAGAGAGACACTCTTACTGGGTTTTTACAGAATCCTTACTCATGTTCCTCCCCATTGAAAACCAAGTGGTCCAGGCCTGTTGGGGCACACCCGTAATCCTAGTGTCTTAGAGACTGAGAGAGGAAGATCACAAGTTCAAACCCAGCCTGGGCAATTTAGCAAGATCCTGTCTCAAAACAAGTGGGAAGAAAGAGCTGATAAGTAACCCAGTGGTAGAACAACTGTAGTTTATCCCCCAGTACCTCAGAAAACAACAGAGTAGGCTCATATAAGAAATCAAGTGACTGAAAAGTACAACGATGGTGTCAGAAAAAAATCCCTGAAATACTTTGCTAAATTCTGCTTTGTTTTATTTACCCAAGGACACAGAATACACCTTTCCATCATCCAGAGTCTCTGTGACCATGAGTTGTGGTATATAAAAACTGCTAAACAACAGCAAAACTTGAAACAGTCCATAATAAACAGCCAATAACTTAAACATGAAATGTTTTTAACTGAATTTCATTACATCTCCTCTTAAGTCCTTCCATTTTGTTCTTGAAAAATGTTTAAAATGTCTCTTGGCAGGGGCTTCTATGGCTCTATATGTAGATACATAGAGCAGGAGGGTGTCAGGATGTACTGCTAACTGCCTAAAAACCTTACTAATATTTTCCTTCCACTTTGATTTGTTTCCACATAGCTGTGAAGTTTATCCTGTCTTTAGTTTGCAGTTATCTTCTAAGGTTTCTGCACATGTTGCTGTTTTTAGAGCCATAAGAAATATTTCACTGCTGTGAAATAAATTTCACTTTTCATCTGCTCCACGTATCATACTTCTAGGCAGAATATTAATGTAACTTTTGTTGTGTTGATTTTTTTTTAATTTGCAGGAACTTTATTTGATGATAAAGGAGACAAGCATGCCAAGAAAGGAATTTGTATTTGGGAGTGTATTGATAAAATGCATAAGAGGAGTCCCATTTTCTTTAATTATTTATATTCACCAGTGGAAATAGAGGTAGAGTAAGAAACTGTTTGTTTTCATTTTCTGAATATTTTGTGTGAACATTTTCCTTAGTTCTAGTGTATATATAAGCTATTTAAGTTTTTTTTGTTTTTGTTTTTGTTTTGAGACAGGGTCTCACTATGTAGTTGAGACTGACCTGAAACTCACTATGTAGCCCAGGTTGTTCTTGAACTCACATCGATCCTCCTGCCTCAGCCTCCCAAATGCTGGGATCACAGGCGTGCGTCACCACGCCCGGCTATTTAAGTTTTTTATAAACATTTGACTAGATTTCATACCAAAATTTTTTAAAAGTCTGAGACACTGTGGGTTTGGGTCATAATGGAAATGGAGACTGTTCACTAAATTCTTGCCACAAAAATTAGAAACTGGGGCTGGGGATTTAGCTCAGTGTTTCCACAACCTGCCTCGCAAGCGCAAGGTCCCAAGTTTGATCCCCGATACCAAAACAAATAAATAAATAAATAAATTAGAAATTAGCATCTAAAACCCAATGTCAAGAAAACCAAAGCAAGGCAGCTTTTTCTAGAACAAGGCAGTAATTAAACTTGAAATCGCAACAGGTAATTGCAAAATCTGTAATTCTCTCTTTTTTGTGTTTTGTTTTGGTGCCAGCGATCAAACTCAGGACCTTGTACTTGCAAGGCAGGCAGTGGCACCACTGAGCTAAATCCCTGACCCTAATCTACAATTCTTTAGAAAAGATTTTCTTAAATCCATCTGTGCAACACCCATGGAAGGACCTATAAGGGAAACAGAGATGCTTGGAGCCTAGATCAAGTAGGATGTCATATCTCGGGGAAAACTGCTCCTTCGTGTGTATCTATATGACATAGGCTCTGAGATAGAACAGGTGGGCTTGATAAGCAAAACTACCTTTATTTAGGTGCAAGGGAGTCCTCTCCCTAGGTCCTATGCATTAGAACCCCGCTCTGGCCTTCCTCCAGCTGCACCCTCCTCACAAGAAACTCAGGGCATGTGCTTAGATACCTCTCCTCACCTAAACCATGCCCTGAGTACCTTGAAATTCCTTCCCCAAATTCAAGCCACTCGGTAGGTTATTTCTGTCTGCCTCCCAAGCTGGTGTATGTACCCTTAGGCTTAACAGATAGCAAGACGTGGCTGTTTGGCAGGCAGTGGACAGTTTGGCTTCATGGACTAAAGCCATACACAAACACTCATACAAAGCCAGGGTGGGAGGAGGAGGAGAAGGTTAAGTCACAAATTGAAAGATAGGGCAACTCCCCCAGGGCTACCACTTCCTAGGTTAGAATTCGGAAGAATCTAAGAATTTTATTTGAACCTGGCCTTCCTGATCATTAGGAGGTCATATTTGTCAAAGTAGAAGGATGGAACATACTTTCTTTAATATTTTATCTTGATCTATAACTTTTAAATATTTAGATGAATGGTGTTTGAACCTTAATTCATATACTAGCCCTGGACCTTGCAAATGGTAGGGCCAGGCCTATCAGTAAGCCTTTGGAGTTTTCTCTAAACAGGCCCTGAAGCCCAGTGTAAACATCTCCAGCCTCAAGAAGTGGGATTACTATATAGAGGAGACCCTGTCTGCAGGGCCTTCGTATGACTGGATGATGCTGACTCCCAAGCACTTTCCCTCTGAAGAGTCTGATCTGGCTGGAGGAGCTGGGCCCCAGACCCAGAGAAGGACAGTGTGGCCATGCTATGATGAAGTCAGCTGTACTCAGCCCGATGCTCTCACCAGCCTTTTCACTGTAAGTCGGTCAGTTGTGTAGAGACACACCTCTGGGCATTGTGGTTTCGGGGAGCACTAGGCTAAGACTGGCTTACAAACTTTGGAACATGCCTTTCTTTCTGTACCCTGGGTTAGTGTTGCACATAGCACTCTGTAATCTACCAAACCAGATTTGCTCCCATCGGTGGAACACCAGCTTTAACTAGTGGGAAAGAGAAGCAATTGAGCACATGGAGCAAAACTTCTTCCAGCAGCTCCTCAGCTGTTTTAGTTGTCCAAGCAGTCTGAGTCAAGCCTGGGTTATGGCTTTTCTGGATGCCTTGCTTCCTCTGGTCAGAATTGTGGGTAGCTGAGGTCCTGATGGGACTACTGCCAGCCATCTTCTGCTAGGAATATTCTGGAGCAAAGCCATCCTGGCAATAGCACCCTGAGGAACAGTTGTGAGCCCTAATGTAGGCCAGACAGTTCCTGAAGAGTCCTGTCCCTCTAGTTTCCTGGCCAGGAAAAGTGTGCTGTAGTGACAGCACTCTCCCAGATCCCTGCCAGAAGGGAAATCCGTGTCCTTGGGCATTTCTTGGTGCATTCTTTCCACATCTGGTTTGAGTTACCAGAGTTGAGGAGCTTCTCTCTCAGGAGTAGACTTCTCATCTACCTCAGCCATTAGGGTTGAAACACAGGCCAAATTCTTGACCTTTACTTTGGCCGACAGATTTCCCTTGGGCTGCCCAAGGGTGGAGGTGTCTGGGCCACATATTTCAAATCTTATTGTTTAAGCCAGTCTGTACAAAAGCCTGATTTGGGTCTAAGCATCTTGGCCACAGTGCATCACACCAGCTCATGCTCCTACTACTGTTGCTGGGGATGGGAGACCTCTCAGGCTTCATATCTACCACTTTCTTCGTCTGCCTTCTTGCTGTGCCGCCTATCTGGGCCCAGTACAGAGGAAACATGTCTCTGGGGCACATCCTGACCTTTATGATACACTGATCTATTGGAAGATTACTTCTCATTTCATTTCAGGAAATTGAAAAATTGGAGCATAAATTGAACCAAACCCCTGAGAAGTGGCAGCAGCTGTGGGAAAAGGTAACCATGGACCTTAAAGAAGAGCCAAGAGCAGACCGTGTGAGTTGGTACCCCCCACCCAGGAGCTACCTTTGAGCTTTTGAAGGTGCTAGGTCAGGTAGAACCCACTGCCAGGTCACAGGTCTAGGGTGGATTTGTGGCCAGTGGGAAAGGTAGGAAGAGAGGTCATGCCCTGGGGTCCCGGGCAGAAAGCTCCAAATGACCAAATACTTTGTGAGTGCCTCACTTTACCACAGTGACATAATACTTAGTGTTTCAAGGCACTGAATCCAGGGAAATTACTAGGTTCTTTTCTATCTCAGTGCCTCTGTGGTTTCAGCTGATCTACCACATAAGGGAGGAGGGGAATGCCAAAGCCCTGTTTGCTTCGGAGAAATGAGCAGAGAAAATAAAAATACTTTTAAACGACAAAATACTACTTTCTGTTGCTCATCCTCCCTTTGATGCTTCTGATTTAAGAAGTATTTATCATAGAAATATTTTAAAACAAATACTCTATTTTCTGCTTCTCACGGCCAATTTCCTGTTTCTGATTTAAGAAATATTTGTCAAGTACATAACATGTGAAATGGACTGTGCTTAGTAGCAGACACACTACAGCCTCTTCCAGCCCACAGTGAGGGAGTAGGGTCCCATCTCATGCGTGAGGGAACAGAGATCTCGCAGCTGCTAGTTGGCAGCATCACCATTTGAACCCATGTTTGGACTGGCTCCAAACACATAAGAGGGGAAATTAAAATAGATGAGTGTTCTGACAAGCATTTCAGGAAGGAGCGGTCAGGGGTGAGAAAAAAGCTTTGTTAACAAGGAATCGTGTAGGCTCTGTCCCTTGCCTTCACTGGCAGTTCAGGTACTGTTAGCACATAGAATGCAGATAGGTGATGCCTTTATGCTTTTTTACTCAGAAAAAATAAAAATTTTTAAATTATTTTTCTGGTTATAAAGTAATGTGGAATTATTTTATAAAAATAAGGTAATACGTGGAAAGTTATAAAACTAATGAAAGCCACTCATAATTTATAACCTAGAAATAAACTACTGTTCTGTCAAACTCATTTCATCATTATAAGCCCACATGTAAGAGAAATTTACTGTATATACTATTTTAAACCTTTTTTACTTAATATTGGCATACATTTTTGTTTGCCACTGTTTATAAATCAGCATTATCATTTTGTGACTATCTCGAACTCCATCATACAAAAGTAACAATTATTTACCAGCTATCTAATATTTACATAATATTAGATAATTATTATCTAAATTATTTAGATTGTTCCTAGTGTTTATTATAAACAACTCCAGGATAAATATCTTTGTACAGATATCTTTGCTCATCGGTTTATTTTTTTTCCCTTGAAATAAATTTGTATACATGAAATTATCAGGTCAGTTACTTAAAGCCGCTCTAAAGCTTTTCCACCCTGTTCTGTCTTTTTCAGGTCCAGAGACGTCCTCCCGGATCCCCAGGAATTGTGCCTCCCAACCTACCTTCCTATCAGAAGAGGCCGATGCTGCACCTGCCCGACAGCAGCATGAGCGAGGAACAGAACGCCAGCATCTCACCTTCCAACGGAGTGGAGCGAAGGGCAGCCACGCTCTACAGCCAGTACACATCCAGGAGCGACGAGAACAGGTGCGCAGTGAGGACTGCTGAGTGTGGGGAAAGACCCTTCCCGTTCTTCCCGGGGCCACCCACAGGCTGCTGATAAGCTGTGCAGTACAGCTTTTGGAAACTGGAAATAAGTGTGCTTGGATTCTTTGGGGTTTTTTTCTAAATGCTAAAATAATTCTAGGAAGAGGGGGGCAATATTACAGCTAAAAAGAAAGCCAAGGGGTTGTAGTTATTTATGACTGATTCCTGATTGCTAATATTTCAGGTCTGCTTTTGCATATATACTCTTGAGGGCATTTGTGTTAATCACAGGTTTTGCAGTGACAGATTACAAATCCTCATGCTAGCTGAAGCAAAAGGATTCATTTACATAAACTGGAATAGCCAAGGACTGCTGATTTCTCATGCAGTGTCTTCATGCTTCTGTTTCTAACTTTCCTTCTGTTTCTCCCTCTGTGTTACATCAGTCTCAGCAAAAGATGGCCCCTAACAGTTCCTAACTTCACAGGTGAGGTGACCCCTGTGGAAAAAAGCAGTCTCTCCCCTAAGGTGTAGTAGCAAAACTCCAGTGAGAACTTGCCTTTTTTTTTTTTTAATCCCTTCTGGGGAAACAGACTTGACAAAAACAACAGGCATCCCCTTGACAGCATTTTTTGAATGAAACTCTGTTCTGTTGTCATTTCTCCTAGGTCCTTTGAGGGAACACTTTACAAAAGAGGGGCTCTGCTGAAAGGCTGGAAATCCCGTTGGTTTGTATTGGATGTAACAAAACATCAGGTAATACTGTTGGAGCCTAAAGAAATTAACTACTGTCTCGGCTACTCTCAGTCCCTGGCTGTTATGTGGCTGTCATAAGATAGATACATTCGTCATATACAGACTGTTGTCCGAGAGGCTTCTTTCAGGGCCCTAGATGTCGCTGAGCCAGAGCAGTAGACTTCAGAGGAAGTTCCAAATAGCCACTGCCTGAAATGTGCAGATACAAGCAGTGACAGTTTAATCCAGAGCACTCAGAGCCATAAGATTTTTTTTTTTTTTTTGACGTTCAAACCACTTCTACTGCCTGCTCTCATGCCGGGTCAGGAAGCATGCAAGGGCTTAAGCCTATTACATACATACCACAGGCACATGTAAACCCGTGCCTGGGAGCGTTCCCCAGAGTGCAAGTGCCCTTCATCCTTGCAGCCCAGAACATCTATTCATGACTGAAGACATTAATATATTCAGCAGACATTTATTGCACCACACCACTGTGCTTATCACTATACTGGCTACTGAAGAAGGCACTGCTATCCCTCAGACATGGTTTCAGCAGTGGAGGGAAAGGACTCCAAAGGCAAAAAGAGATCATCCTATCCAAACTTTGAACTCACAATGGGCAGGTAGGAGTCTGGACTTTGCTGAGCGTGTTAGGAAATATTCTACCTTAGTTGTTGCTCTAGCAGCTGGATATTAGCGTTAGTGTCATAATCTTTGCTCCAGTGGTCTCAGGAAGTGATTTCTATCCAACCTCCAACTCTTTTTCACCTTCTGTCAGTGAAAGTTGTGTGGCTTCCTGTGTTCTGACCTTAAGCCAGTCAGCTGGAAGCCGAGGATTCACCTGCTGATTCTCCATGCATTCGTCCGTACAGTGAATGCTGCTGGGAAAGGTCTGGACTGACCTCATGTGGTGCACTGATGGGATCTGCATCTAGAGAACCAGAACCCCTCCCAAGGAAGACTGTAGTGGGAGGCCACGTTTTCCTCTTTCTGCTCTAGGGACTTTATAAAGGTCATAGAGTCTTTGTGGAGAATATTGAGAATTTATTTTCAAATATAAAAACAAAATCCCTCTTAGGGAGCTATACTTTAAAATAACAGTCTCTCTGAAATCATAGAGCCTCCACTGTCCAGAAAAGTTCCATTAAACCACTAAATACAACATGTTGAAATGTCATAATTTTGCTATAATTTAAAATTATATCAAATTATACTTGCATTCTTACTACCAATCTTTTGGATTTCATTAACATGAGAGGTATACAGTTTTTCCATTTAGTCCTACTTGTACCAAGCCTGAGGGTAGAGACAGAAAAGTTCCAGGTTGGAAGAACTGCCGTGGTAAAAACACAAGACACATTCCTGCAATGTACGGTACACTGAAATCCAGGCTGGACCAATAAAGCTTTTCATCAGCAAACTAACTTTTAAAATATTTTTTTCATTTTCTCATATCAGAAAAGTAATACATGGTTATTATACCAAATTTTATAAAGATCTAAAGGACCTCCATGCAGTCCTATGTTAAGCTGCTTTTTTTTTTTTTTTTTTTTTTGTCCTTATCAATTCATAATAGAGATCTTTCATACTCTTTTGGGAAAATTTTTATTTATATGCTGTGACTGAATTAACCATGGTTCCACTGAAAGACAAGACAGGTACCCCTCTTCTAACACTGAGATGATGAATGAAGTTCTGAAGGAAACTCCTTTATTTCTTATTTCTGTAGAATAACTTTCTAGAGAAGGAAAAAATGTTTCAACAGACACAAACTTTTCTTCTTTTTCTGTTGAGCCAAAGGCCTTGCATGTGTCAAGTGTACACTTGACCATTGAGCTGTATCTCCAGCCCACAAACACATTAATTTTAGTTGATACTGCTGAATTGTTCTCCAAAAATTTTCTAACAAATTGTGCTCCCATGGGCAGTATTTGACAGTCCCTGGTTCCTTACTGGATAATATCAGTCATTTTTAATATTTCTTAATCCAAGTGAAAAAAGTGAAATCTCATTTCGTTTACTTTCCTCTCTGATCAGTGAGCTTGCTCATCTTTCCAGATGTTTATAGATTATTTGTATTTCTTGTTTTTGTTTTTATGTTTTTTGAGACAGGGTCTCGCTATGTAGTTGAGACTGCCCTGGAACTCACTATGTAGCCCAGGCTGGTCTCGAACTCACAGAGATCCGCCTGCCTCAGCCTCCCGGGTGCTGGGATTACAGGCATGCACCACCATGCCCGGCAATCATTTGTATTTTTTATGTGACTTGCCTGTTGAGATCCTTTGAACATTCTTCTACTAGATTATCTTCTTTCTTATAAATTTCTATGAATTTTATATGTACATTAAAGATATATTTTATGGTGTTAACTAGTTTTATTTTTTATATGTAATTCATTTGTTTATTCAAATTTCAAAAGTCCAAGGTCTTTTCCCCACTTCCTTTTAGCCACCTATCTCTCTTACCTGGAGGTGGCCAGTGTTACTAATGTTTTGTGTATTCCTTCAGGCATAGTTTAGCATATATAAGCAAGATATGGAGGAAAGTAATCAAATCGTTGGGAACGTCATGCTGTTTTCCCTTTCCATGTCTCTTGTATCCCATCTGTATCCTTTTGGTCCTAGCTGCGATACTATGACTCGGGTGAAGACACAAGCTGCAAAGGCCACATAGATCTGGCTGAAGTAGAAATGGTCATCCCTGCTGGCCCCAGCCTGGGCGCTCCAAAACACACGAGTGACAAGGCTTTCTTTGATGTAAGTTTATCTTCTCCTTTGCTGGTTCTGCTTGTAAATCATCCCATCCTGCTCTGAATTATGGGGCCCTCTGAGCAGTTTGTGGTGACTGAAGATGGGTAGCAGACCCCGGCTGTGGCAGATGCTCCAGAACATGAAATTAGCACTCTGATCTCCAAGCTTGATCTTGCTTAGATCAAGAACAATGCATGGACACAGCTGAACTCCTGGTAAGACGCTGTTAGTCACCTCAGTCACCTCCCTCAGAATCAGTGCCACTTCCTTCATATCCAGTAATCATCCTCCCTGACCCTCCACAAAATAAATCTTTGGTCACAGCTGATAATTGTCTGCCATAAGATCTTCAGCATTTTATGGTTCACAAAATAGGAGACTTGTCTAGTTCCTAGAGTCCAGCAGGACTTCATAAAGAGCAGAGGTTATATTCCATGGCTCTGGGCTTCCATCACGGCCCTAACTGAAGAAAGGGGACACAAAGGATGCATCTTGGCTCAGCCATACTGCACTGGTGTCATGCAGGAGAGGCCAAGGCTTCAGCCGATACTAATCCTTCCCCCTAGTGAAAGGCAGTGGCCACAGGAGATGCACTGCTTTCCTCATGTGTCCCTCTCTCTGCCAGTCCCCTTCTGTTAACACCCACTGTGACTTTAGAAGATGGAAAAGTCAAGTGACTATTAAAGGCAGGGACAGTGTGGTAGTAGGTGGAAAGAAAATAGAGGTTCTGGGGGAGCATGGAAAGAAAAGTCACATGTTCATATGGCACTTGCTCAGAGCCATCAAATAGCCTTTCCCCTCATCTCTGGTTCTCCTGTCATTTGGTTTTGTAGCTCAAGACCAGCAAACGTGTATATAACTTCTGTGCCCAAGATGGGCAGAGTGCCCAGCAGTGGATGGACAGAATCCAGAGCTGTATCTCTGACGCCTGACACTGTGGATAACCCAAGCAGAACAGGTAGAGGAACTTGTGTAGCCAGATAGAAAAGGAGCGTGGATCCTTGAGGAACAGACAACAAATCGTGCCACGGCCTGAAGTTCTTTTGCTCATCTAACCCAGTCCCCTCTAGCAGCAGTTGCTGCATCTCCTTCAGGGGTGGCGGCTGGTTAGAGCCCCAAGCCCTTCTGGTATCTTGCACTGAATTATTCTAACTGGGTCTTAGGTCAGGGATCAGATGAATGCTCCTGAGCCTGCTGTCATCTATCCCCTAGCCAAAACGGCCCCCAGCTACTTGAGTGCTTCTACATGAAGGTCCTGTTTGTTCTCCAAGGTCATGATTTCCTTGAAGAGCTTTTAAGCAAACAAAAATCAGAAACCTCCAAAGATCATCCTACATCCTGCCCAGAATGGGTTTCTCATCCGAGAAACCTCCTCTGACCTTTGAGATGCTCAGTTCTCTGGTGCTGCCAAAAGGTGCTTCCGTCCCTACTCTGCCATTGAGGTTCACAATAAGAAACATCACTGCTTGGTAGCAGGCAAAGAGGGAATGCACAAGATTATCCTGGTGGAAAAAGCTTACCCAGGGAATGATGCTTAACCAGGCCAATGCAGGAACACACTGCTTCCAAAACCCTGATTCCCTTAGACTAATGGTGTTTGAGGACACAGGGCCTTCTGTTCCTGTGTATTCTTCTGCTCCCTGACAGCTTGTTACACAAAATAACTTGCAAAAAGCTGAATGCACTAACCCACACAACACTTGCACTGAACTCCTCATCAAGTGAAGACGTGAGACTGAAGCCAGCTACTTAACAACCACACACCTTTGGCGAGGTCTCACTGTGGCATGGCTGGTACCCAGACAACACTTCTACGCATGGAAAGTAAGAACTGCTCTTAGATTCTCCTCACTTTTGATAACCTTGTGTTTGTTCAACCTAAGGCCGAAGGACACTGTTTGCCCACAATAAACAGTAGCAGCCTCTCCCACAGCTGCTGGCAACAACCAGGGCCCTAGGTGACTAGACTGTTGTGTTCATTTTGAAATGTTAATATGTCAAATACCAAACTAATATTTCAAAAATATGTATATATGATTTCTATATCCTTGTTTTTCAGATAACCTACTTATAATTTAATATAAAATTAAACTTAACTAGTCATAAGATTTCAGTAATAAAAATTCCCTTTTTAAAAATATAAACTACTTTGTAGATTAAAAATAAACCAGATTTTCAAATTTAAAATTAAATGCACAAGGAACTAGAACTATGTTAATATATAAGAAATTGGGGAGTAATAAGAATGAAGGGCTTTTCTATAATATCTCATTTTATAAATTTGCCACCTGTGAAAATGTTTTTTGCACATTATTTGTATTTTTCTTTGTATATGAAATAATTCTTTGTATTTTGTAAAATATGGAGCCCATTATACTTCCAGCTATTTGAGACTATACACAGTTCTTCTTTTGTAACTGGATTCTTTCAACTTTCATGAAGGCATTACTTGCCTTACATTCACTAACCACCTTGAATTAAATTTATTTCTTCTTAAGAAAATCCATACCTCACGACTGTGAAGTGAAGCTCATTCTGCAGCGTACTGCCCTCAAGAGGGTCACATCCAGGACTCCACACAGGATGAAAGGCTCAAGTTCAAGGAAAAAACAAAGCATGACCCACTCTTGGTCCTGCTAACGTCATTGCTGCCTTGGCTGAGGAAGTGGCAAGATGCTGGGCATATGGCAGGAGCTTCTAGATTCTAGACACACTTTTGTAGAGTTTGGGGAGACCCAAGACTGAGGTTCTTGCCCCTGCTGCGTTCAGTAAGCTGTGTTGAGAAGGTTAAGTTCCTAACCTCTTTCATACTCCTTCAGGCAGTTATTGTTAAACAGCACAGATGTGTGATCAGTAATTTCCATCCTAGACAACACTTCCTCTGGTTCAACCCCTAGAGCTGACCCTCTGTCTCCAGCAGGGATACCAGTTCTCATCTCAGGATGAAAGGAACCATCTCTGAGCCAGGCACCTACATCTGCCTCCTTGAGCCTCAGATGTCCTTAGTCTGAAGGGCACATGTGACCCAGCCAAGGAGCCCCAGACCTCCTCCTAAGGACAAGCTTGGGAACTGCCATTATGCCTTGCAGTGTCCCTGAGATTCAATCAGGAAGGAAATAGATGGGTTGGAGGTTAACCAGGAGCTGTGTTTATGATATCAGTGTCCGGATGCTCTGCATTCCTCAAAGTTAAAAGGGAAGGACATTGGGGTCCAACCAGGCTGGCCTCCTGCAAGAGTCTTTAGCAGGCCTCTCCCTCCCTTGACTTCTGTGATGAAAGCCTTTCTACACCTGGGCTCATGAGCAGTGCAGACGTAAGGGGATACGTTAGCAAGGTCATACTCTGGCTCAGGTCCTTTATCCCACCTCCCAAACCTACCCTGCAGCTTCCATTCCTGAGCTGGAGTTTAAACTGCGAGTGCCATGCAGGCTTGCTTAGCAGTCTGAACTGACATTTTTATACACTTCATCATGATTTATTTTAAGAGTTATTGAGTAAACCCATCATCCCATAAAAATTTCTGAAAGATCCCAAGCTGATAGCCAGGAAATGCCCTTAGCAGTGGCAAGCAAGGTTATTAAGTAATGAATAGAACAGCATTGATGAAAAGATAGCATTTAGAGCAGTGCTGTCAGACAGAATAGTATAAGCTTTATACATCTTTTTAAAATAAAAAAATACATAAAATGAAATTTGGTTTTAATGGAATACATTATTTAACTCAGTATATCCAAAATACTATTTCAATAAGTAATCAGTACAAAAAATATTTTTAAAATATTTTATATTCTTTGGTCATTCTAAGTCCTAAAATTCCAATGTGTATTTCACATACGGAGAACATCTGAGTTTGGACTAGTATTATGTTGGTTTTCTTTCACATATATTTCTGATATCACCAAATGCATGTCATTTCTCCACCTAGTTCTCCAACCCCAAATGGATATCCAGCAGTGCCACTCAGTTCTGACCCTAAGGAGGTACACACACAGCCCACATACAGGACTGAGTCCCACAAGACCAACTCATTGCAGATACTAGTTGCAAAGGCTCCCAGTGCTTCTGACCAGCCAGCTATAAATTTGGAGATTCCTCAACCCCCTTCCTTGGATTCAGTAATTTGCCAGAGCAAATCACAGAAATCAGAAAAATAGTTCTGGCTTGCCAGTTTGTTATAAGTGCTATCACTTAGGAGCAGCCAGATGGAAGAGATGCATAGCGCAAGATGGGGGTGCCGTGGCACCCCACCTTCCAGGACCCTGAACCCAGAAGCTCTCCAAATCTCACTGTTCAAGAGTTTTTATAACCCAATCTCCATTTGCCGTAGGCCCGAGTGCAGATGAGGGGCTGCAAGTTTGCACCCTGTGTTCCTTGTTTGGTTTCTGTGGTGACCAGCCCATCTCCCAAAGCTATCTGAGACCCTGCCCTGAATGTCCAGGGGCTCAGGTGTGGTTGAAACCGGCACATTATGAATAACGAGACGTACCCATCACTCAGGAAATTCCAAGAGTTTCAGGAACTCAAACCAGGTACCTTTTTTTTTTTTTTTTACTCTGCCACACATTTCCATAACTATATATACTGTACCGGGTATTTCCATGTAGTGGTAGTTCCACTGTTAACTTACTAGACAATACAGATTTAGCACAAGTAGACTGTTCACAGCACAGCCTGTGGTGGGAGGGGCTAGGAGGCAAGAGACCTGGGTTCCATTGCCGGCGCTCATACAGTTCACCATGTGACTGTAAAACAGTCTCCTAACTCTCTTAGGCTTTAATTTAGAAAACAAAGGCCCTAGGAACTGGAAATGGAGCTCACTGGTAGGGCAATAAGACCTACTTTCAGTCCCCAGCACCAAAAAAAAAAAAACCCAGATGATACTACTTTACCTTGGTAAGGTCTCAGGTACCAAAAGGAGATTTAAAGAATTTTCTGAAGAAAAAAATAAAATCATTTTAATCCTGTAGGATGAATCATCTTATTAAAATTGCTATAGGAGCTGGTGGCACAGCTCAGCAGCAGAGAGGTGCTTAGCACATATAAGGCCCAGTATTCAATCCATGGCACCAAAATACAAAAAAAAAAAAAAAAAAAAATGAGGATCCTTAGCCAGATGTGGTGGTGCACACCTGTAGTCCCAGCAGTCGGGAGGCTGAGGCAGGAGGATCACTGTGGGTTTGCGACCAGCCTGGGCTACACAGTGAGTTCCAGGTCAGTCTCAACTACATAGTAAGACGCTGTCTCAAAAACAAGCAAAAAAATGAGGATCCTTGATTGAGTAAGTATGGAATGGGGCTTGACCTTCTGTATTTCTAGTAAGCCAGTTGACACGTTCGCTGCTGGTCCTAGAAGCACGCTGATAGTAGCAGATGTGTTAGACTCTGTCCTCCAGGAAGCAGATTCCATGAGAAGGAAATGGGGAGGTTGGGAGAGTCAAGAGACCGCAATGCAGATGGTGGCCCCTGGCCCATCCTCCGGAGAGCAGACATTCTGGGCATGAGCTGCCTTTTCCTAACCACAGAGCCTCTGTTCCCCACCCTTGTCCCCAGAGACTTGCAGACCTCCTGACCCTCAGGCATAGAATCCACACATCATAGCACTTGCCTGGGGTCATACAATGGCAGGGTCCTGTTGAAACCCGCTCCGTGGCTGTCACGGGCACTTTTGGTAGGTTCTATCCACAGACCGAGAGATGAGGAGTCATCAGACTGCCAGGGGAAGACCTTGGTGAGCAGAGCCCCCGCACTCGCCTCACCCCCGAGTGAGCCGGCCTCCTGCCGACACTGTATACTCAGGCAGGAGTTGCCTTGGGCTCTTGACAGCAGCCTACCACTCATTCATGATGACAAGGACTGGCTAAAGTCAACTGTGCAGTCATTTCCTCCTGTCTTGGAGCCTTTCCGGTGCGTGTTATGTGCGGTACAAAAACCTTCACACACCGAACTCCCCACATGCCCGCGTCTGGCCACACACCTCGGCCTCAGACCCCTGACCAAATCCAGGCCGCGGGCCATTACCCAGGAGCGTGTATGTTCTTGCGCTGCCTTGATGCCCTCTTCCTTGGACACAAGCAGGCACTGTGCTCACAGCTGTACCTGTCAGCTGATAACAATCAATCCCCAGGCCCTGGGAGGCTGAGGCAGAAGGACAGAAGGTTTGAGCCCAGCCTGAGCAATTTTTTTTTTGTACCGGGGATCAAACTCGGGTCCTTGTGCTTGCGCGAGGCAGGCAGTGGAACTGCTGAGCTAAATTCCCAGCCGTGGGCAATTTTTTTAAATTAATTGAGTTTATTGGTACATTGTAAATATTCATAATGGTCACATCCATGGTAGGGAATTTGAACCTATACACTGATTCTTTTTTCCCCATCCTCCTTCCCTTCAGCCCCTCTTCCCCTCCTTATTTACAAAAGCTTTGTTTCCATTTTTCCTTTTCTCATTTTTTTCTTTTCCTCTCCCTCCCTCCCTGCCTCCCTCCCTATTTCCTCTTCCCATTTGAACATTTTCTTCCTATTTCACCAAGTCTGTTAAACATTTCGGTTCTTATTTACACTTTCGGTTTCTCACACCGTGTAACATGTACACATGTCCAATTTATTTCACTTGAGTATGATCTCAGCGTGCATCCCTTTGCCTAGAAATGTCTCATTTATCCTTCCTTATGGCTGAGTAGTACTCTGTTGTATAAACACGTTTATCCATCTATCAGTTGATGGGCATTCGGGCTGTTTCCAGGATTTAGCTATTAGAAACTGTGCTGATATGAATGTGGCCGTGCATATACTCTTGTGGTATGGCGCTTTCAGTCCTGTCGGACAGATACCAAGAAGGAACAGCTGGGTCAAATGGAGCCTCTGGGTTTAGTTTCTTCAGGAAGCTCCACACTGATTTCCACAGTGGTTGCACCAGCCTACACTCCCAGCCAGTAGTGGAGAAGCGTTCCTTTCTCCCCATAACCCACCAGCATTTGTTGTTGGTTGATTTCTCTACAGTAGCCATTCTTTCTGGAGTGACATGGAATCTTACCGTTGTTTTAATTTGCATCTCTCGACCAGTGATGTTTTTTCATATATTTATTGCCATTGCAGCTTAGCTCCTCTCCCAAAGCTGGGCTGTGGGCATGCTTTGAGCTCCAGGTGTTGATTAATGCCACTCAGACTCTGTCGGCTAGTCCTGAGCATGTCATAGTCTCCCTTTCTCTAGTGAGCAGTTGGACAAAGTAACGGCCATGGTCCATTTGGGAAGAAACACACGGAAGCAGTTGTCATGACAAATACACGACTTGCTGCAGTTCTGCAGGGTCCTGCCGCCTCAAGGCTGCCACCTCTTTAGTTAGTGCTAAACTGAGAAAACTGGGAACTGAGCAAGAGATTGTGACTTTCCATTAAATCTGTCTCCTGCCCCTCCATTCCTGTCCTGTTTTTTAGTTGTAAATGTTAAACAGAGCTTTGCTGGTGGCCCATCTAGCTTGCCCCAGGGACACTGTATTAGCCAAGTCCACGTCTTTTTTTTTTTTTTTTTTTTCTCTTTTGAGACAGGGTCTCACTATGTAGTTGAGACTGACCTGGAACTCACAGTGTAGCCCAGGCTGGTCTCAAATTCACAGGACCCTCCTGCCTCAGCCTCCCAAGTGCTGGGATTACAGGCGTGCGCCACCACGCCCAGCTCCAAGTCCACGTCTTTGAGAATTCCTCACATAACCATCTTTAGCAGGCTCACCTTCCATGGCTCTTCCTTCCTTCCCTTTCTTTCTCTTCTTTTTTCTTCTTTTCATCTGTCTGTCTTCTTTTGTTCAGTGCTAGAGATGGAATCCAGGGTCTTGACAAGACAGGCACTCCCAAAGCTGAGAACTACACTCTCACCCCTGTTTTCTTTCTTGTCTACCACATCCCAGAGAAAGTCAGGTATTCTCCCTGAACTGAGTGTTGGCCACCAGACTTGTAAGAGCCCACCTGAGCAGACATTGCTTCCTCCCCCGGTAAGGGTGCTAAAACTTGTCCCCAGAAAGTGCCTGAAGTGCACGGCTGCGGCTCGCTCTCCGAACCCCAGGAGAACTTACTGCCTGGCTCCTGCCAGTACTGGCTTGTCCTTAGCTTCCGCTCACAGTATTGTCTTCCCTCCCTTATCGGGCATTCACCCCTGATCTCTCTCTTTGGCAGCCAGAAGAGGAAGTGGGGCAGCAGATTGGCAGCACCTATGGCCTTCAGCGTGAGGCCTCAGGAGACCTCGGCGAGCGCGGCACAAGGGTTGAGTGTCACTAGGAAGGTGGCCGCCCCTGCAGCTCAGAGGGCCAGGGAGGCCGTGGTCACAGTGTCCTCGAGAGCGTCCACCAGACATCGTCATCCCATTTCAGAGTTCCAGGCCTCTCCTCCCCCGAGGGCCTTCATAGCTACAGCCTCAGCCTTCTTTTTATTTCACATCACTAAATCGTCCAGGCTGGGTTCAAACTTTCAATCCTCCTGCCTCAGCCTCCTGGAGTGCTGGGTTTACAGGCCTGCACCCCCCGTCCTGGCTGAGTTCTGCATCTCTTGAGAATGGATTTGCCTTTGTCAGGCTGAGAGCAGCCCTGGCCACAGAGTGGGCAGAGTGGGCAGCAGAGCAGCCGGGCCACTGGGTAGTAGTGATCCCCACAGCCTGGCATCTGGGAGGTGCGCGTCTACCGCTCCCACCAAGAGTCTAGGCAGGGACTGAGCCCCTGGAGCTCTTGACCAAAAGGAACAAGAGCATCATATTCTCTCCCTGTGGTGAGTCTATGCTGAGACTTCCAGCTCTGTCCTACTTCTGACCTTGGGTGGTTCATCCGCTCTGGGCCTCACTTTCTTCACCCATAAATGGGGATAAAAACAGAAATGATCCCAACTCAACAATGGTTCAATGGATAGTGTGAAAGAGATTCAAATTCCATAGAAATCTTACTTCAAATTCTGAATCTTGATCTTTTCCCAGGCTGTGGGTTTGTGGGTATTATCAGGGCTCCATCCTGGAGCTCAGCCGTGGGGTGGAACCCACTATGAATGGGCTGGTCCCCAAATCCAGTGTGTGCCCCGTCCACCACACACTGATGCTCTGCACTGATGCTGTCCTGGGTACACTGGACCCCAAACAGGCAGCCCCTGTCCTCCCTTGCACACATGACTGCCAGTGTAGACAGAGCTGTGCTCAGTGAGGGCAGGCAGAGGCAGCGAGCTCAGTGCCAGACCTGGGGTCAGAGACGTCCTGATCAGGGGCATTTATGCCAAGGATTACAGGACCCAGACATGGCTGAAAGTGAAATGGAAGAAGGCAGAAAAAGTTGCTGCAGCTGTGACCCCCATTTTAGAAATATCTGCCTGGCCAGGCATGGGTGGGACCTTGGGAAAGGGGTGTGGTCCAGCCCGAGGCTTTTCTGGTTGTCCCAGCGGGGCTCGGTAGACATAGGAGCTTCACACAGCCTAAAGTCAGGAGCAAAATTGAGGGCCTAGCTGGTGGGAACAGAGTGGAGGAAAAGAGGCAGGGATACCTGAGAATGGCCCCGTCCTCAGATGGCCAGGTGGGGAGCAGCCGGGTTCTGGCCCAGGCTTCACCAGCAGCCAGTGGGTCCTGAGGAACAGGGAGCTCATGGAAATTTTTCCCAGAGATCAAATGACCTTGTCCAAGGTCACAGCAGTGTAGGTGGAGCTGGGATTTGAACTCAGGTCCATCTGACTGCATCTTGTGCTCCCCTCTTCTCCAGCAGGCCAGTCTGCATGTAGAAACCCGAGTTCAGGGGAACTGTGACCCACTATGTCACCGGGCCTCTTGGAAGGTCATTCAAGGTCAGGAGCACAGCTCCGCAGCCCCGCCCTGACCCAGGACACAGAGTTCCTCCTGTCCTTCCTCCTGTCAGGGGAGTCAGCTCAGGCCCTCCAGGAGAAGACAGAGCCTGGAACTGGGCCCCCGCACACCCTCTCCCACCGGGGCTGCCACCCACAGCCAAGGCTCCCCGGAGGTAGGCTCCAGTCTGGAGCCAAGGAGCGGGAGCCCTTCCTCTACTCTACTGTCAGCTCAGCCATGCTGGGCCTTCCAGAAAAGTCAGGCTTAGGGGAGAAGAAAAACTTGATGGCTTAGGACAGGTGCTGTGTGACCCTGGCGAGGGCCTGGCCAGCTGAGCTCGTCTGACAAACGACGGGCCAGACTTGTTTCTCCACCGTGGTTCCCATGGTCCGCTGCGTCTTCCCTGCAGTCCTTGGCCTCCTCCACGCCTAAGCGTGGAACAATGCCTGGTCCCTGCGGACAGCCCTCCACCGCCACAGATCCACCTCCTCATTCCCCACAGTCCCCCAAGGTTCGGGGTTCAGTGCAGCCCCAGCCAGAGGAATGTGAGCCATTCCCGGCATCTCCTCCCCTGCGGCCAGCGGAGGGGCTGGGGCCTCCGGGCCCTTCTGACAGGAAATTAGCTGGGCCTGGCCTTCCCCACTACCAGCTGCTCCGCTGACCCTGACCCTGTGTTTTCTGAAACTTGATACTGCACATTTCAGAGCCTCTTCCTCACGCCCCAGGAGGCCTGGCTGAGCGCTGCTCTACAGGCCTCCAGCCCAAGCAGGTCCCCTTCCTCCAGACCTGCAAGGAGCCTGGAGCCAGAGGCCGGGGGCGCGGCCTCCTCACGGCCCTGACAGCTTCCCCCTCTGCATCTCCCACCCATCAGAGAGGCTGCGACTGGGCGACTGGTTGGAGGGACGCCAGAGGGGCAGCGCCACGGTCCAAGAAGAGGTGGTGGTTTGGAATACAGTGAGACAGCAACGGTTATGAGCACCAGAGGCAAAGATGCAGGGATTAAGACGGAGAGACCCTGGCGAGGGTCTGGCCATGAGGCTGAGCGACAGAAGTGTCTAAAGGCCTCCAAGGTTTCTGAGCCGCAGGGCTGGGTGGATGGCAGAGCCTGGCACTGTACTGGCGAACACCAGGCTTTCCCAGGACTGGGGCAGAAGATGCAGAGTCTGGGTGCAGGGGCCAAACTGGGGAGCCAGAGAGGGAGGAGCCAGAGTCCCCAAGTGAATGAACAGAACAGCAGAGACGTCATTAACGCCGAGAACAGGGGTAGACGGGCCAAGCGGGGGAGTAGGAGGGGAGCGGCTGTCCTGGCCATGCTGATGTCTGATGGCCACGTAATGGAGGATGACCTGGCAGAGGGGACAGAAGGACGTGGGGCCATGCGAGGAATGGAGACAAATGTTTACTTCAAGAATGCCAAGTGCTGCAGGAAATCAGGAGGAGGGCTGGCCGCGTACCACCGGGGTCGGGGGCCTGGAGGTCACCCCTGGGAGTGCCGGCTGCAAAAAGCGGGGCGGCCAGGCTGTAGCAGCTGGAAGGTGAGAGGTGGGGAGTGAGACCACTGTGCCGCCCAGCTGGAGTAATTTCAATGCCAGCACAGCCGCTGGAGGGCTGCACGGGGTCCTGGTTGTGTGTTTTAGGGAAATGAGACGTGTTCCTATGTCGAACAGGACCCTGCTACGATGAGAGGTTTGCAATACCTGAGACAGGGCTGGCAACAGAAAAACGTTTCTGAGAAAGCGGAAGAGCTACCCGGGCCACCTGGCAGGGCAGTGGCTGAGCTGGGGGAACACACAACCCACTGGCATCCCCAGAAATCTTAGAGGCCCAGTGACACCTCTGCCCCTCAGCCTCCCCGGCAGAACACTCCAGTTTCTCTCCTTAATCCCCGCCTCCTGTGACCTCAGCATCCCTCAGCACTAACCTAAAATGTGTGGTCCGTTCATCTCAAAGCCACCGACTAACCATGTACTTCTGCCCAATTCAGCCACAGCCAAGTCAATCCAGGTGCTGAGACAGAAGACCACAGACCTCACAGCTTCCGAACAAGAAAAACCCACTCCTCGCAACTCTCCCTGGAGGCTACAAAGCTAAGGTCTAAACACCACAGACTTGGTGACCGGCAGCCAGTTCCTGGTCCACTGGAGGCTGGCTGCCACCCAGCCCCCAACCCCTGTTCAGTCCTGGCATTTCGCCTCCTGCACTCAGATTCCCCACGTGTTGTCACCTACTCCCTGTTCCCAAGCCTGTTCACACCAGGAAAGAATACATGGTGAATGTCCCTCACTCAAAATGCTCGGGAGCAAAAGTATTTTAAACTCCATATTTTTTCAGATTTTGGAATATCTGCATGTATCCTCTAATGATATATCCTGAGACAGGACTCCTGTCTAAACATGAAGTGCGTTTGCTTCTTATACAGCTTACGTACACATCCTGAAGGCAATTTTAAACCGTTTTTAGTGTGCCTTAGACTGCAACTCATTCTGATTAGCGGAGGTGTGGAATTTCCTGTAGTGGTACTGTTACTGCTCAAAAGTTTGGGTTTTGGAGCATGTGGGATATCAGATTTTTAGATTAGGGATGTTTAACCTGTATTTAAGCTCTAGTGCTCACCACACCTTCCATGAGATAAATGGACATAAAGGCTTCTGGATCATGTCATGTGCATTAAGCATTCATGGGCCAGGGATGTAGCTCAGTGGCACCTCACCTGCCTTGCAAGTGCAAGGTCCTGAGTTCCATCCCTGGTACCACGTAAAGTGGGGAGCGGTCAGCTTCCCTGGATAATTAGAATAGGCTGGTCCTCAACTGACCTGTGTCTGCATGTGTGTGTGATCTTATAGACATTTTATTCCTTCAATAGCTTGTATGTACATTACATATATAGATCTATCACATCTACATCTATCACACACATTCATTCCTATGTAACTTCAATACCTTGACATATAATTACCACAAAGAGGCTATCTGTATGGATGGTGACAGACTTAGTCAACTGAGCACTTTCTCTTCAGAGTAGGAGGGGCCTGGTGCTCCCTAAGAAGTACTTTTTGATTTTCTTCCATGACTACTCCAAATGCCTTGCAGCAGGCCTGGTCAGCAGGCCTCCACAACCACTCCGGGAAATACTTGCTTTGGCTACAGAGCGCTTTGAACATGGACCCATCCAAGAAGACACCACTCTGGAGCCCCTCCCTTACCACTGACCAATCAGAAAGTCTGACCCTGCAGGCGCATAACCTGACATTTCTCCTTTCTAAGTGACACCTCCATACCCTTAGGCTGCAGCGTAAGTCCTGATGGGAATATGTTTGCCATTGGTGATTTTTCTCTTGGGTAGAGCTCGTCACACCAAACACCACGGGTGCCCAAAGTGGCCAGCAGCCAGCGCCAGTCACACTGAAGGTGCCCGCACAGAGAATGGTGGAGAATCGCTGGTGCCTGCCCTCAACGGTGGTCAGAAAAGTTTCTGACACCTATCAGTGGCTGCTTTCTCCAAGCAGGAGGAGGACCACAAACTGGCATTCAAAGCCCAGCGCTGTTAACACTTTGCCAAATTGTGACCTGTATAGGACTTGAGCAAGAACTCTGAGCTGATTAGTAGCATCTTGGAAGTGCACGGAGAACTCCCCTTAGAGCCTTGAAGGGGATGGACAATGGTGACAGTCACCACAAGCTCAAGAACCGACTTCCCCTGTGCATTGAGCTAAGAATCCAAAGGAGCTGGTGACACTCGAACAGGACATCAGGTGTTCCTGGGAAGTTGGTTCACCCTGAAGCTATCTTTGCAGTTTCCTGCCTTCAGAGGGTGACGGTGGTGCTCAGGAGATGCGCGAGCAGCAGGCAGTCCCTGCACAGGGCCTCAGTACCCAGAGGGAGGTAAAGCTGCTCTGCTCTGCTGCAGGTCTGGGTGGCCGTGCAATTCCACACGTCCTTGTCTGCGGCTCAGAGCTGCCTCACCCAAGGGGCAGACAGGCAAAGGCGGGAGGTGAGCCTGGGGAGCTGGAGGCTGCTGCCTTTGTCACGCTGCCCCTCACTCCTCACCTGACCTGATCTCCAGTAAGCTTGGCCAGTTTCACTCCTCTTGCCTCAAACACTTCACTCTATTGGCTTGATGGGTGTTTGGGTTTTTCTGATTTGTTGTACTCCAACCTTACTGCCTGCTCCCATTGGTTCATGTGACACACTGGCCTCAGGGCTGCGCCTCACACCTCTCAAAGGAGGTGGGAGTGGTGTTGCGGCTTGTACTCCCCTCCGTGCCCCCACTCTGGAGGCTGAGGCAAATTTGAGCTCAGCCCGGGCGATTTAGGGACTCAGCAAGACCCTGCCTCGAAATAAAGTCTGAGAACGTAGCTCAGTGCAAAGGGTTCAATCCCCAAGGCTCTAAAAACAACAAAGAAACACAAAAACACTGCTAAGGAAGTTCTCACATGGACCTCACTGCACTTCCCACCCCCTTCCAGAACGATCTTCCCCAGAAGTCTCCTGTGAGCCTCACTTTCTTGAGACCTCTGCTCAAGGAGCCCTGTGGAGCTTCGTACAACATACAGAAGCCCTTGGTACACCGCTGTGGAAAGGACGTGGCTGAGACAGTGGCTGCCAGGCCATGGGGACAACAGGCCAAGAGGAGCAGGCTCCCAGGAAAGAGCAACATGAGAGAGACCCCAAGGGCCCCCAGAGATGGGAGTGGAACTGCCATTCCTGACTCCCCAGTCCAGGTTTACAGGTCTCCTTGAGAGTCGGTGCTGTCTGCAAGGTGGCCCGGCATCCCACAATAGCCCTCCTCTCTCCTAAAGCATCTGGCCTTTTGCTCCTGGCAACAGAGGCTTCCCAACATCAACCACTGTCTCACCTCTCACCCTCACGTGCAAACCAAGGAGCCCCATCAGCCCAGGGCCCACCCATCGCCTGTAGGTCCACACAGCCACCCGTCCATCCGAAGTCCCTCTCTCAGGACACCCTGTGGAGTTCAGCCAGGTCAGGACAGTCCTGAGTGCCAGG